GGTCGAAACTGCAGTCCACTCCAGTCGGGATGAGAACAACTTTTGGGAAAGCAAGGCTATGTGAAATTGAATGAAAATACCAGATCAACTCATATGATTGTGGGAAAATTCTTCTTCTACCATTCCTTTATCACCTTAAACGAAATTGGGTGAATATATATCTCATTACACTGATTTACTTGTAGTCTCAAAACTACTCCAATATGAAGATATAGAATGATTTGGCTAATTATCTTTCGTATTGGCCCTGCCAGTCTTTTTAGAGTGTCTATGTGTGTGTGTTGATGTCCCTACGCAACAGCGATCCTAAATCAGAGTGATCAAAAGGCTAATGTCAGGCTCTAGTGATCAAGAAGTGAGGATAAGAAAGATGACTTCCAGATGATGGAAATCTATGCCTGCAAAGTTAAGTGAAGGGAAGTGTCGCTGCTGACCTGGTGGAGGAGAATGCTGAACTGTGAAGGGTTGCGCCGCATCACCTTTGCCGATTTGTGTCACACAGATTGGTTGCTGAGCCTTCGTCCTAAATCTCTTGTGGGGCATCAAGAGAAGCAATTTGGTTGGACGTGTAGGTATCCTGATTCCGTGTGTGCATCTGTGCTTTGCATCCAAGGCGGTTTGTGGGGTACCAACGAGATGCATGTAATGAATCAACATGTGGACCACTCTTTGGCGGCACGGGTTTTCTATTGTAATCAAGACAAAAGTCTAATGGATATTGTTGCCGAAAATGGTACTTGCTCGACCAGTTTTAAGTTGTGATTCAGTTTCAAGTTGTAGGGAGAGGATGTATAGTGTGCAATGAATGATTGAATGACTAAAGGATGCAATAATTGAATGATTGAATGATTAAATGATGGAATTTACAAATGAACCGGAATAGGGGGCAGTCTCTTCGTCAACTCTAGCGGAGCTCAATCGTACTACCTATTCGGCCACAAGATCGAGTGGCACATAAAACAGCATAACCGAGTTTTTTTCATGTAGATAGACGTGCTACTGACTTTCCAGTTAGTAGCGAAACAAACATAAAGTAGTAGCCAGATTTGACTTCTGAAAGCTCACAAACCAGTTGCCGTCAGTGAACATTCAGAATTCTTACACTTTGAGGAGGTTGTTTAAAGCTGGCTTGATCTCGTTCTTGCAACATGTCAAATTCAGATGAATACATCTTTCCAAAGTCCTCTACCAAAAAAGTCATGCCGATTTCCACCGTCTGACCGTGAACTTGATACATTTCCAGGCGTTTCGTCAGCATCGTCAATGATTCCAGCCAGTCTGCACCAAAATTTAACTCGTCAAGTATAAAAATTTATTATTTTTTGTCTCTTTGACAGACTGATAATGACAAGATTCACTAAAAATTGCGGCGAGGTGTCTGAAAATGCACGTTCAAAAGCTGTACATTTGCATGATTCCTATCACAGACGACTTTGGGCAATGGGTCTTTGTGGCAATACAATAAAATTGTGAAAATGACCTCAAACCGCGTCCATACAACGAAGTGGGACAGCGATCATTTGAAAGGTCACACCAACTTTATCTTCATGCCTTCAGGGAGGTTGCTAATAAAAAATTGTCAATCTACAGCTCTGTTGTAGCAAAAGGCAGTCTAGTCCTCCTTCAGTGCGGACCAACTAAAAATGGCGGGTTTTACGAAAATGGCGTCGTTGCTTTTTGTCTAAATTGAGGCATATACGATGTGTTCAGTCTATTTGGTTTAAGGTGATATGGCGACTGGTAGTCGAATTTTCCCACAATCTCCCGAAAAGGCATTACGTTTCCATTCAATTTCACATAGCCCTGCTTTCCAAAAGATATTTTCATCCAGACTTGAATGGACTGCAGTTTTGACCTCGTCTTGGTCTCATTATCACCCCCAGCGGAACTTGAACCATGAGAGTGCAGCGTATAAGGGCAGATGTGTATTCCAAAGAAGTACAGCCATTTTCATATATCACATTCTGTAGTGAGATTGTCGATGAAGCAAAGTTGTATTTGCAAGAACAATTGACTGTGCTACTTATTTTTTGTTAGTACGTTCTGGAGACTACATCCGACATATGTTTGATCTACTGCTACTCTCGAAAACCTACTTATAAATGAAAAACAAATTGAAGCATTCAGCGGGGCAAACGAGTCTTCGGAGATGTAAAATTCTTCAACTCGATGAAACCTCCGCTGATCTGGTTGTCATGCCTAAACTGTTTACAGCCCGCCCGGCTCTTAGTCTCTCTTGAATTTGCATACACTCAACAATTTTACTTATTGTTGCCTCCCAAACGGTGTTCTCATTCCGACTAGATTAGACTCAAATGCAAGCTTGACCTCGCCCGAAATGATCTGACCAGCAGCCCCAGCAGGAATCGGACCCGGATTGTGCTAGTACAGCGTTTCATCTCGACATGCTACCACTACATAACAAGGAAGATGCTAAATTAAAGGGGGGACATTCCTCTTTCATGTCATATTTTTTGTTGTGGCTCGATTATATCATAACAACTGACTACATTATTTGTTCGAATTAAGTAAACCTGTAAATCAGTTATAAGTAGTATTCACTCAATTTCGTTTAAGGTGAC